CAAATAATAATAATAATAATAATAATAATAATAATAATAATAATAATAATAATAATAATAATAATAATAATAATAATAATAATAATAATAATAATAATAAGGAAGTTTTTGTGCTTTGGTTTGACCCATAAATATGCAGAATGCATTAAATTAAAATAAGAGAAAAATATTCATATTTTTTTATTCACTGTATTGTTTCTCAATTATTTTTATCAAATAAGACCGACAAAAAGTAGGTTTATCTTCTCTCTCTGTAATTATGCAAAGATAGATCTATTAGAAGCTCTCTCTCTCTAATCAAAAGTCCTTTTAAAATATTATTTTAAAATAAAAATTTATTTTTACAATTAATAATTAATTTCATGTGCATGTCACTAGTATTGCACAATGTGTCGACCAATCTATACACATAGGGGATTTTTCACAAATATACAAGAAATATAAAGATTTCTCACAAAACAGGGACTTGGAACCTGCTAGAGATGGTTTCTCCGTTATGAAGAAGGCCACGTTTTATGTGACTTGAAACTCAAAGGAACTTAATGCTACAAATTCATAAAAGGGAAAAGTTCATAAAAAGCAGCTAAACAATCAAATTAGAGCTTACCTCAAACATTTTACTAGAAGATGTTTTAATGACCAAATATCCTTAAATTGATCATCTTGACATTAAGATGCATGGACATGAAAAAAAAATGAATTTCAAATTTTGAACATAGTGTGTATTTTGTAACACATTTTTGGACCGTCAATTATCAAGATTTTCAAGTTTTATAGATCTATTGCTCTACAGTAAATTTTTTTAGGCTTTAAACTTTATAAGTAACAATGAAAATATATTTTAAGATTATCACAAAGATTTTCACCATCAAAACCACATTTCTGGATACTATTTGAAAGTACGCTCTAATTTGATTTTTTAGAGCCTTCGGCTCTATACAAACCGCATAGTTCATAAAAATGGGACCCGACAGCCTAGTCACTTTGTCATGACGGTCAAAAGAATGATGGAAGGATCGGGAGCTTCCAGCAAATTTGATATGACACACACAAATTCCATACTTTTTCATAGAGAGTGATTTATGCATGGATCTTGCTTTGCATATGCGGAAATAACCGAAAAAAAAAAAAAAATGTCGTTCAATTATTTCATTTTTTTCCAAAACTACCGCTCGACCGACCCGATTTTGATTTTTTTATATTTTTGTAGTTTTTTATTAGTAGGGTAGTGCCTTAAAGCTTAGGGGGTTTTTAGTTTTTTATTAGTAGGGCATTGCCTTAAAGCTTAGGGCACTACCCTACTAATAAAAAAACTAAAAAAAAATTTAAAAAAATCAATATTTGGGCTGACTAAATGGGCAATTTTGACAAAAAAAAAAAAAAAGTTTAACCGACCTTTATACTTTCCACATATAAGTGGAGCATTTGTATTTTACTTAAAATTTTAAGGGCTGCACATAAATTATTCCTCCGTAAAATATAAATAAAATACCCATTGACATGAATACTTGCCCATATATATATATATATATATATATAAACCAAATATAATACTAGGGCCCATTTTTGGTGAAAATTCATCCTAGACCATGCATTTTTAAACAATATTGGATCGGTGGGGCAGATTGTTCACCCATAGATTGATGTCAAATCGCTTAACGATTTAGACCGGTCCAAATAAGTGATCCAAAAAATATTAATAAATAATATTAAAATAAATGCTTATGGGATTGGACTTAAGAAAAAATTAGATGTGCTTAAAAAAATAAAAAAATAAATAAAACGATTTTAAGAGGGACTGGATGGGATCCATGACATCCAAACCAGTTCACTGTCAATCAATTCCCATCCAGTTCAAGGATCCAGATCGAAAATCGCTTTGATCCTAAAGATTACTCTCATTCAAGTGAGAGAATTTTGTATATTTCTATTTTGCCCATTGTGCGCTGATTCGTGTGCGTTAATTCTTCAACATGATTATTCTTATGCCACAGTTTCAGAGGCATTGACTCTCTTCCTCGATCGTCAAACATTTGATTAGACGGTGATGATCATTCCATCGACTTTTATTCAGATTTTCATTTATTTTTCATTTTATGTTTCGCCGATTTTTCAACTCTTTTGACATTTCCGATGAACGCGACAAGAAGTGTCAAAGTGAAGATGCTCTGAGATTTAAATTAGGGGTTGGTGTCAGAGTCGCAGGACTCGGTTTTTGGGTTTCACACTGTACAGAAATTAAATTTTAGCTGCTTGTCTCAGGAAGTTTGACTGGTATCACGGTCAAAATGGTTCAGTCGTCGTGAAATAGAGAGAGAGAGAGAGAGAGGTGACCCTGTCCAATTCGATTGTTTTGGGGGGCTGAGAACTCAACCATAAGGCATTTTGTTGACCGGACCCTCTCCAACTTCCAAAACCTCGCCCTCCCATGCTCTATATAATGGTGGACACCCCCTTCCTCTTTTATCATAACTTAAAAATCAAGATTCAATTCTCTACTCTACCATACCCTACCCCACCCTACCCTACCCCCTGGTTCTCACTGCACTGCACTGCAGCACCTACTACCATCTCTCTTCCTTCTCATTCTTAAGCTCTAAAAGAAAGAATTAGAGATAAGAGTAGGGTGATTTGAGCCTCCTAAATAAACAGAGAGCCATGGCAGCTATAAGCCTTGGGAGAGTTAACGCACCCACTTGCTTACCTTGCGCATCTTCAGGCCCAAGAGTGAGGGCTGCATTATCTCTTCCCACCAAACCGCCAAAGATTGTCTCCCCTTCTCCACCCAAACTCGAAAACAACCACTACCTGTCTAACAACCAGAGGCAGCTAGGGAAAGCCCCGCTTTCGGAACATACGTTCCTCTTTCCACAAGGAAAAGAAGAGGAGGACCCTGTGCTCATGGCCAGACTCCAGGCGGTGGCTGAGATTGTCGCTGATAGGGCCGAGATGCATGCTAATTTAGCAGAACAAAGGAATAACTGGAACACCCTTCTTCTCAACTCCACCAATTCAATCACCCTCGCCGCCGCAACCATGGCGGCCCTCTCATCATTTCCCAGCACGGATGTTGCCCATCTATCCCTCACCCTTTCCTCCACCTTCCTCTACTCGGCGGCCACTGCCATGGTATGCGTGATGAGCAAGATCCAGCCCTCTCAATTAGCAGAGGAGCAGAGAAACGCCGCCCGACTCTTCAAGAGCCTCCACTTGCATATCAATTCCACACGGGACCTTCACCCCTCTCTCCGCCCAGAGCTCTCTCAATTTCTGGAGGACGCCATGGCTCGAGTGTTGGCTCTCGACAAAGCCTACCCCCTGCCCTTGCTCCCCGGCATGCTCGAAAAGTTCCCCTCTGAAGTGAAGCCCACAGTGTGGTGGCCGAAGACAGCTGCTGCTACTCCTTCGAAGTCTTCTAAGGAGGAGATGACTGATAACGGCTGGAGTGCTGAGATGGAGAGGGAGATGGCAGAGGTGGCAAGAGTGCTGAGGGAGAGGGACACGGCGGAGTACGTGAGGCTCAGCAAGCTGGTTTTGAACTGCAACAGGGCGATGGCTGTGGCCGGGCCCATCCTGATGGCTGCTGCGACGGTGGGAACGGCATTTGGGGGCTCAGCAGCCGTGGGTGGCATCGTGGCTGGTGCCTTGGCATGCGTTGTCAACAGCCTCAGCCACGGTGGGCAGGTCGGGATGGTGTTCGAGATGTACAGGAATAACGCGGGCTTCTACCAGTTGCTCAACGAATCGTTGTTGTCTTCCCTAAACAAGCCTCCGGCAGAGAGGGAACATGCAGAGTTGGTGGAGACGAGAGTCGCCCTTCAATTGGGAAGGAGCATTTCATCACTCCGCAACTTGGCCTCCTCTTCCAAGAATCAAAAGGAGTTTGGAAGCAAGCTCTTCTGATCACATCCGACTTGCAACAAGGACGACTCCTCCAAACAACAAACTCCCCATGTTCATACCATCCATTCGTTCTTCATACTGTAAAGATTCATTCATTTACTTATTTTTAATTATAAGTTTCAAATCGAGAGAAATTAAGAGGTCATGTTATTCATTTTTCCATACTCTAAGATTCATTTATTTTGAGACCACGAAATAATTATGAAGCACTGGGAGCCTCCACGTCTTAGCGTTGCAAAAATTGAAATTCCCGTATTTCGTAAAGGAAAATTGCTGGACCGCAGGGATGCAAGTGGGCGTTCCATCTAAAAAAAACAATGGAGTCCAAAAATGTTTTCTTTCTATAATTATTATTTTTAATTTTTTAACTTTATGCTTAAAGATTAAATGTCCTTAAACATAGTCTTAAAGTCCATTTCAAAAATAGATTTATTAAGAGGCCCATTGGCCGCATAAAAACCGGGTCCTTTTGGAAAAGTATATACTTCATGGTCCGTATACATAAACCCAAGGAGCGCGCCTAGGTTGACCATCTGAACAGAGTAGTTGATTCATTGGGTGATCAAGTCAAAGAATTGATTGAGGGTGATGGAAAGATTGGGACCCACCACCACATTTGATATGAAGCCAACTGATTGGAGAGGTTGGAATATGACAGAAGCGCTGGGTTGGGTTGGGTTGGGTTGGGTTGGGTTGGGTTCTTTCCGGTGGCTGCCGTGTCTATATCAATGGACGCCGTTTCTATGCGCCCATTCCCGCACCAACTGCCGGTCAAACTGAGCCAATCTTATTTTTGGCTGGTTTAGGTGGTCTCGCGGGTATTTTTAAAAAAACAATTGAAAGAAAATTATCAAGTACCAAATAAAATAAAAGATTTGTTTGTAATGTATTTTCAATGTTTTTAATCATTTTGATAAAAATGAACACCAATTGTGATGGATGCTTGGTGTGACAGGGGAAGCAAATGTAGAATTGCATCCCAACACACAACAATACACTTTTCCCTCTATAAAATGCGGAGAATACAGGGCAATGCTACAACAATTGATGCCAATGCTAGAGAGGGCCATGTTAGCCTATACATGTATATCAATACACATCATTATGGATATGTATGGGTATAGGTGTCTAGTTGGTAATTATGTTGGTATCTATCCAGAATTGTTATTAAGCCGTATATTTATAAGATACGAGTCTTGTATATTTTTAATCTATTCATTGAATGCAGATAAAGACCCGCTCTCACAGGTGTAACCATTTATCATGGAAGGGAACTCAAGGAGTAATCCCCTTGACAAATTCATCCTATTTCAGACTAAATTGGAGATATTGTTAAGAGGCAATAAACCTCTTCTTTGTTTTTTAACGCTAGGAGGCAATAAATCTCTTTCAACTGTTTTAATAGGATAAAAATGCCACAGTTGACAAGCTAGCCTTGGAGGGAGGGAGGGAGGGAGAGAACAGTTTGTGATAAATTTCCAAATTTATATACTCCTTTGTGACAGTTTTGTAAATTTGTACAATGATTCACCCATAAAACAATCAATAGTTGTTAAATAGAAAAACATGGCGTCAAAGTATTTAGTGTCGTATAAGACTAGCTCACTCAGGTGCGCTTGTTATCAACCAAAAAAAACAATTAGTGTCATATATGACTAGGTCACTCAGGTGCGCTTGTTATCAACCAAAAAAAACAATTAGTGTCCTAGGTCACTCCGGTGCGCTTGTTATCAACCAAAAAACAATAGTCAGGTTCATTAGGTCGTCAAAACCATGGAGATAACGTAGTTCACTGCGTCATCAAGGTAAGGTCCAAAATTTGGATCGAGGGTGATGAAAAGATTGTGACTTACCACCACATTTTATATGAAACCAACAGCGGCTCATGCCCTCCATCATCCTTCCACTGCATAGTTCACTGCGGAAATTGTGTACAAATTCCATGTGCGGTGAGGTTTGTATTAGGTGCCTATAAGCAGTACTTGAATTCTTTTTCCTTTTTTTTTCTTTATATCTCGGGATCAAGATGAACAATAGGAAAGTTTTCAATCCTCTTTTCTACTGGATTTTTGTTGTGCACATTACTATTATACTATAATGTTGCAAAGTTATATAAATTTTTACCAATGCGCATTTTTCCATACATATAAAGCCAAAAGATTTTATGCTCGCACATGAGCACATTGTCCAGTTTTTCCCTTATGTAAGGCTAATTTTTACTCCCTCGAGTAAAGCTAATCTTAGGATCTCAAATTTTGGGATGTAATATCTTAAGCGAAAGGTTTCTATATTTTCCCTACAGCATAGAAGATCTATGCTTCCCCTACCATCCAGCCGTCCAATTTTAATCAAGGCAGCTACTCACTGTTTGATCTTAGATCCGATGTCTCAAAGTATTTTATTTTTAATTTTTTTATTCAAATTCTATGGATATAAAATTTGGTACATGACATCTTCTCACTAGGGTGCATCTATAAAAAAATATTAAAAATAATTTTTCGATAAAATATAATGACTAAAATACCCCTTAAAGATTTTAGGGGTATTTTGGTAATTTTATTTTATTGAAAATATTTTTTCTAATATTTTTTGCTAGTGCGCATGTAATAGAGGATTGGACGTCCAAATTTTGATATCAAAATAGTTTATACAAAAAACTTAAAAATGAAATAGTATACGTGACATTGTGATTGGGGCAATCTTAGCCCACCATTCAGAATAGACGGTTGTATAAGGGAAAGTATATAAGTTTTATGCTGTAGGGGAAGCATAAAAAGCTTTCCCAAAACTAACCTCAAAGAAGAAAAAAGAGTGCATCGTCTATGTAATTGAAAAAACATTAGTGTATCAAGATTGAACAAATACCATCTAATTTTTTTAGGATGAAATCTAAGTGCTAGAACATAAAAATTTAAATTTTATCTTTTGAAAACAATCATCAAGTGATTCTTAGTTAGTTCCCAAAGTTTCATATTCAAAAAATCCTTCCAAGTAGGTCTTCTACACACTTAGTTCCCAAAGTTTCAGATTAAAATAAAATCCTCCCAAGGTCATCTACATGAGTGACCAGTGACTAGATAGACAGTATACGCCAGAGAGAGCATAATATACAATGCTTATATATATAGAAGTGTTAGAAAAATGTCAATCTAGATTGGAATCGTAATATAAAAGTGTTTTAGAAATTGTCAATCTAGAGAGGAATCACTATATAAAAGTACTTAAAAAAATGCCAATCGAGATAAAAATTGCCCAATTCTTATTTATTTTCAAGTGAACTATTTTGATTTTCATGTTTAAAAAAGGTTAGTCTAGATAGGAATTGTCTAATCCTAATCGGTTTTTAAGGAAACCATTCTGGATCCTTCTATATATATATAGTTCTCATTAATTGGTGTTGTTTTTTGAAATTTTTTACTTTTCTTGTTTTAAAAATTTCTATTTATTTAGACGACTGGTCGCACCAACGATATCCACGTGGCCTGCCATATCATGCATTTCGTAGGTCTAGTGAGCCTCATTCTATAGAACTTTGGCTCCCAAAATTAGTCCTACCTCCCTGATGTGGGAATAGTTTTTTCTCTTCATATAAGAAAGAGTGATGTCCATCTCCTTTTGAAGATTTTGCTCAACCCTGCTATGGAATTCCTAAGGAAAGTATGTAAGAGAGAGTGATGTCTTTCTCCTTTCGAAGTTTTTGTTCAACCCTGCGATGGAATTCCATAAGGATAAGTATATAAAGAAACCATGTACTTTTGGTACAAGGACATCACAAATATTCATGTCTTTCATATTTTAAATCGAGTGGCTGTAAGACTGTTATTGAATAAAAAGTTTTAAAAAAATTCTCAAACTTCGTCACACACTCGAAACCGTCAAATTTGACATCTCATGACTAAAAATAATTGTTACTTCTTTATAACAAAGATAAATGATCTCATGATATATAATCCTGTAACGAGAATATGGCATAGTAAACGCATTTCAAAGGAGAAGAAGCTACGACATGAAATCCTCGTGGCTTTGGATTTGGACTAATAATTTGCATTAATTACTTTTTTATTCAAATAGTTGTCCATCGCTCCTTATGCTTTAATTGCGAAAGAGTGCCAATACGTGTTTCCTGCCCAATTAAATTTGTTTTGTTATTTTTGTCGTGTAATTTGATTGTAAAGATTCGGCACGAGTGCTCACTTAACCTGCTTTTTTAATGACATCAGTATTGTTATTCTATATGTTTTTTTGGATTTTTCCATATGTTTTGTAGGGTACCTGTAATATACACGTTCCCTAGGAACTGATGCTTATTCTTGTTGAGTTTTATTTTACATTAAAAAAGAGAGAGAATAGCATTAAAAGCAATTTGAAAATAAACCATATTTAAATTTAAGTCAGAGATATCTATTTTATTTTGTTGCAATAAAAAAATTTATTTTGATTATAAATTGAATATAATGCTCAATAAATACTTTGTATTTATGTATTATTATAAAATAACTAAAATCCAAAATGCAATACCTCCATTTTCGGGAAACCTAAAAATTTGATTTTAAAAGAATTTAATGATTTAAAAAAAAAATTAAGTTCAGCTCCAACTAACCTGGCTGATCCAAATCATCAATCCAAGTCGATTTTACGAATGGCTGATCTAGGTCACTGATCTGGTTTTCAAACTAACCCATTTTTGTGGAAAATGCTTTGCCAATAACTTAATATTTTTGGAAAAGGTTAATATAAGGTCAGCACCTTAAATTGTTAATCATTACAACATCAAGTTGTATGGATATAGAAATAAAAAATAAAAAAGAATATCAAAGTTCCAAAAATAATACAATTTGCATCACATTATCTGGACCGTTCATTTTCAAGTTTTCATGTATGTATAGATCTACTTGATTTGAACTATTTTTAGAGTTTTTTATAATTAGATATGAAAATAGATTCTCGAGCCATCCTAAAAGTTTTTTGAGTCAAGATTACATCTTATGATAAAGTTTAGAAGTGTGTGTTATTTGATTGTTTAAGGTTACAACCTTATGCAAACCTCAGCTAATATTTTTTGAGATTTAGTACTGTAAAATTATTTATTTTTAGATCACAATCATTTTTTATCATTTGACAGTAAATATAATAAATGAAATTATGTCATAGCATTTGACAAATTTTATTTTGGACTTTGGATGCAAAAGGCACATCCTAAGCCACCCGATTTCAAATATAATAGCAAATAATGATTGTCACCTTCTTATATTAAAAGTTAATGGGTTTCATTCATGGGTGCAGTTGGCATACGAATGCATCCATAGTAGTTGTGGAGGTAAGGTGTACCTTCAAATTTTATCATGGTAAATAATTTTGATGTAAAATGCTTTTAGGATTATCTCAAAATCTATTTTTATATCTAATTATAAAATTTTAAATTTAAGAAATGGTTAAAATCAAGTAGATCTATAAACATATGAAAATCTTGAAAATGGATGGTGTAGATAATATATTGTAAAATGCACTATTTCAAAGACTTAAAATCTTTTTATTTTTCATGGTCATACATCTCGATGTCGAGATGATCAATCAAAGGGTTTTTTAACATTAAAACTACAATTTCCGATGGATTTTTTAGGTGCATATGTAGTTCTACATTATAAGGTTGTATCTTTATATAACCTTTTTTCCTTCATTCATTGTATACTTTTTCCTTTTTTTAGCAAATATTGATTTTTATGGAGTTCTATTATTGCATTGAGTATTGTGCACTGAATCTTGTGCACCTCTAATTACTCGTTAATTCAAATACAGTGCTATGGGATTGTATACAACAGGACCGTACCTTTGGTATAGGGAGATAAGAATTACTTACGGTCATCATATGAGAAATTTGATGACTTCGGTGTATCACAAAGTTTGAAAAAAAAATTTTTTGGATGAAAAATTTGATGACTCGAATGTATCACAAAATTTGAAAACTTTTCTTTTTGGATGAAAAATTTGATGATTTGGATGTGTCACAAAATTCGAAAAGGCTTTTTTTAAACTTTAACCTTGCTCAATGAAATAAATGCAGCCACCCAATTTTACATATAATAGTCAAGATTAATTGTGACCACTTTATACTAGAAGTAAATGGTCTCATTGTTAATTTTATCTATTGTTATGCCTCAGTTTCAAGGGCAGGGGCATTGACTCTATTCCTCCATCGTCAAACCTTTTGATTGTTGGACGGTGATGATTCTACCATCCACTTCCAAACAGTCACATTTTCCTTTATTTTTATGTTTATGTTGTGGTTGTTCAATTTTCAACACTAATAAAATTGCCGATGAACGCGCATAAGTGTAAAAGTGGCTATGCAATGAGATTCTAAATTAGCCTAGGGCTTCGTATCCGGACTCGGTTTTGAGGTTTCACACTGTATACATATTCCCATTAACTTTTAACTTGCTTCTCTCAGGTACTTTGACTGGGAAGCAAAATGGCACAGTCGTAAAGAGAGAGAGAGAGAGAGGGGTAGGTGACCCGTCTAATTTGATTGTTTCGGATGAACACCTGGCTTTTATTGACCGGACCACTGGTTTAAAATACGAATCGGTGACCCAGATCGAACATTTTAAAAATCAATTCGGATATGCAAATCGACGATTTGGATCGGGAATCGGGCCGAATCATTCAGATTAAGTCTTAAAAAAATTCAAAAAAATTATTAAAATTCAGTATAAATGTTGTTTTTTAGGAATCCAATAAGAAATGGAGGTACTACATTATTAACTTTCATTGTTTTTATCAATTTATAAATATTGAGATGTTCTTCCCCTGTATGAACTTATGTTTGACCATTAAATTTACATCACACAAAAGAAATCATAAAATTATCATGGATTAAGTATATAATCATATATGGACTACAATAAATAGTTGACTAAATCGATGAAAAATTGGCCACTAAAATCTCGAATTGGCGGAAAACCTTAATCCGCTAAAAAAACCCAAATTATTACAACCTAACTATAATATTATATATCAACAATATTTTATAATTATTTTATTATATAAATAATAACAAATCCAAAATATTTTATAATATCATCTAATTTAAAATGTATTATTGACAACTATAAG